TGTTATTTCTTTAAATTCCCCTGTATCTGCCTATTCCTTTCTATATAATGACTCAGTATATTCCTTCAACCTCATCGATAACATTTAAGCTATATCATAAAGCAATGGACAAGAAATACAAGTGAATCAAAAGGTTGTTCTCTGCTTTGCTGTTTTGCATTATTGATGCATCTATAGTGGTATCCTTAAGACCACTCATTCGTTCTCCTGCAAAGGAAAGATATTGCCTGATTGTTTTTCTCTTCTCAAAATGTGATGCCTTCCTCACAGAGGACTGCTAGGCTTTCAAGGGCTTTAGGATTTCTTGACTGAATGTTTGCAGGAGGAGAATATTGATTACATCTCTCTCCCCTCCTAAATTCTAACAAGATGAAAAAGAAATCTTTCTGGTGAGCCAGAGGGTACAAATAAATAAAAATCCAACTTTTAAGATGGTCTTATACCAATTTAATTGCACTTTTAAACTCTTAGACTAAATCAAAACCTATCAGTTGAAAGAATCATTGCCTTTTAGGTAGATTGAACAATGGACCAATTGATTTTCATGCCCTCAAGTTTTAACACTCTGGGTTGACTTTGACTGAGACACAATTTTCCAATCTACCCTTTGAACAGCTAGTTAATTTCATTATTGTTGTTTGTTATATAACCTCCTCAGATTCTTTGATTGCAAACGTGTGTAGGTATTGAGTGAGGTGGGGGGCTGTGCATTATCTGCACCATGTAAGTCCTAGAAGCAGGAGCGGGCCAGCAATCACAGGAGCAGAGATCAATTCTTGGTTCCACAATGTGCCAACTTCCTCTGCAAAATGTTTACTTCACAGACCAGCTCAAACACTACTAAATGTTGCTAAGGGCTATTACTTTCCTCATGTAAAGAATTGATCAAAGAGATTGCATCTCTGTGCTACTGGGAAGAGAAGAGCACAAAGGAAAATGTTAATTTCTTCTAAAAGATAAAGAAACGTACTGTAACACCTTCAGGGTTATAAAGGCTTTCTGAAAAAAAATCTCATAACTGGGCTTTGGAGTGTCATTTAACACCCAAAAGTTTGACATAAAGGGAACTAGGAACTAAATGGAAAACTCCAGTCAAATTTTTTTTAAAAAAAATCTTTTCATCTCATTTAACTTTTCATTGATGAATTTATATGTTAAAAATATTATTTCATTATCCAGAACAAAACAGAGTGGAGTGGGACTAGGGAAGGTAGGGGGAGGGAGGAAAATGTGTGACAACGAATGACTGAAAACCCAATATTTCCATAAACTTTAGTTAAAAATAAAAAATATAATTTTTCAGAAAAAAATATTTCAGAAACAGATTCAGTGTTTTCTCAAGTCCAGAATTTCTCTAGCTTTCTTTCATGGAATATGTTCTTCATGGGATCTGTAAGAGAATTTCTGCATTCATGAAACATTGTATTGTATTTATCTTGAATATATTGAGAATTAAATATTAAACATATTAAATATATTCTACAAGAAATCAGATTAAATTGCATCTTTCTACCAAACTATTTAAACACAACAGCATCTTTAGGAATGTTTTGAAGAAAGACAATTTACTAGCCAGAAGTTTGTAAGCATCAGCAGCATTTGTAACAATTATGAGGTTTAAAAAGACCTGTTGCTATCAAGGTGATTTTGATTCCTGTTGAGTTTATTGGGTATAATAGAACTATCTCATAAGTTTTTCAACTCTGTAGTCTTTATGGAAGCAAAATGCCACATCTTGCATTAGAGTAGCTTGTGGGTTCAAACCATTGACCTTTTGGTTAGCTGTTCCAGACTTCACTATTGTGTCATGGAAGTTCACCATAATATTTAAGTCATATTCTAAGACCTTTCCTTTCTGCAGAGTTAATGTCACCATGTGACTGATTGGACAATGATATTGGTACATCTCTGATATGTGTGAATTCTGAAAAGAAGAATTTGGTTCCCTTTTTATACCATTCACCAGTCATGGCAGCCAGTGATGTTCCAGATGGTGGAACTACAACCCTGAGTGAGGTTTACATGAAGCAGACACCACTCCTCATCCTCAAACATACATACCATCCTCCAGGGTACATGCGAAGTGATCAAGAAACAAGCATTTTTCTGTTTCCAGCCACTGAGTTAAAGGAGTTGTTCACTACTTCGCGTGACCTCCTATCCTGTCTATGGGCCCATTGGACCACATATTGCCACTGTTGAGATGTGAATACCATACAATTCTCACTTACCATACAGGTTAGGATTCTCAGTGTCCATCCGCTGTTTTTGAGCTTCAAGGAACACACGGATATTGATCCCTTCGGCTGCAGAGCCACAGTTAAGGAACCTCGCTGGGATCTGTGTACAGATGTCTGGCTCGTCAGTGCCAAAACCCAGATCCAGGAGAATCTCCACTGGGTCTTTTTCCCAAAATTCCAACCATTCAGGAATGCTGCAATGAAAACAGAAGATCTTTATCCAATAACCATTACTTTAAACTAAAGTTGTTTTTTCCAGCTATATAAACTACCTAAATTTTTAGAAATTGAGTGAAAGAACTAAATAGACAAACAGATGATGTAGCTACTATGATTTATGTACAGTGTAAAGAAATGCAGATGGCATAATGATTAAACTATCTCCTGTTAACCAAAAGGTGAGGCACGTAAGTTCACAGTTGCATGGAAGGAGAAATGACCTACTTCTGTGAAGACTGCATCCAAGGAAACACTATGGACAGTTTTACTGTGTCCTGTAAGGTTGTTGTGAGTCAGAATACATTTTATGGGGAAGATAAGCCCCTTCTGTTAAAATGAACTTAAAATTCAGAGTAGCTGCAACAGCACACTGGCGTGTCCTGAATATGAAGAAGGTACTGGAGCAGACAGCCTTTCATTCTGCTGTTCACGGTGTCTCTGAGTCACAGGAAGTTTGTTGGTAACTAACAACGACATTAAATCAATACTTAAAGACTAGTTCCTCTACGCCCACTTGGAGACTGCTTGCTCTTAACTTGAATGAAATAGCACTATGCTTATTTGCCTGGGCTTCCATTCACAACTGTTGTTAGGTGTTGTTAGGTGTCATTGCTTTGGCTGTGGATCAGAGTGATCCTGTGACAACAGAATGAAAGCCTGCCTGTCCTGCGCCCATTTCATAGTCTTTGCTCTCCTTGTTACTGTCATCATGTCAATCCACGTCACTGAAGGTAATGACTCTCTCATTGTTTAGAAGCCAGCTAGACTCAGAGCTGACCTTCTACCAGCTTGCCAAAGCTGTAAATCATAAAGGAAGGACCTGGCCTTCTTTCCCTTGAGGAGCAGCTGTTGGATTTGAACTGACAGATGCTGGAGTCAAGCTAACAGAGAAGCATGGCCTCTGAGTTCGTAGGACAAGGATAACCCATAGAGCAGATCTAATGGATGCAATGACAGACAACAGCCAAAGACAGTGCAGTGCTATTTTAGTCCTATGCTGTTGGGTTTGGGTCGGAACCAATTTTCACTGATCATAAATCACACAGGAGATTGCTTGTCTCTCTCCTGCAGCGCAGCTGGTAGATTTGAAGTATGTGCCTTTGGGGTGGCAGTGCACCCCCTTACCTTACTTCCTAGAGACAATGTGCTGACCACCGTAAAGAAGTGAAGGTTAATGGCAAAGATAGCAAGTGGAAAAAGTCATTAAGTGACTCAAGAAGTATATTTTTTCCTTTTCTTTTAAAAAACACCCCCACTTTTTATTGATAACTACCAGACTCTATCAGAGTAAGCATTCAATATATTTTTATATTATTTTTCAAAGCTTAGCAAAGGAATGAATAGAAATGTCAAATGCACTTGATAAGTAGTAGAAAGATTCTTTCCTTCCTTCCTTCCTTCCTTCCTTCCTTTCTTTCTTTCTTTCTTTCTTTCTTTCTTTCTTTCTTTCTTTCTTTCTTTTCTTTTGAAATTAGGACCAGAAAGTTTTATTATCCTGTCTTTTCCTTTATCTTCTTAACAAAATTATTCTGTCTTTAGTCTTGGAAACGTTTCAATGACTACATAGTGTTCCATTGTATTTATGCTTTTATTGTTGTTATAAGCTTTTGAGTTAGAACTAACCCACAGCTGACCCCGTAGCCAGTTTTCAGAGGCAGTAAATCACATTGGAAAAGTTTGTCCATCTTTCTCCTGCAGAGTGGCTGATGGGTCCAAACCACTTGTCTTGGGTTGGAGGACTCCTTGAAGATATACTTAATGCTTTTTAAAAAACCAGTTTTTTTATTCTCCTTGTTGTAATTTGCTATCGAGTTATAACCAATCCATTGCTGACCTTTCAGTGGGTTTTCAGAGGCAGTTAATCACATGAGAGGAGATGGCCCATCTCTCTCTCACAGAACACCTGGTGGCCTTGAACCATGTACCTTAGTGATTGCAGTGCAGATTCTTACCACTAGGCCACTATATATATTTTTTTTTAAATTTTTAAAGCATCTATATATGACCTTAACTGTCAAGCCCACTGCATTGAGTGAAATGTGTACTTACTCAAGGTGATTCTTCCTCAGTTTTCCAAAGCTGTAAAGCTGTCTTTTCTCCTGGAAAGATAGGAGTAGACTGTCCATCTTTCACTAAGAGCTTATGCTGGATTTCAACTGCTGATGGTTTAATTAGCAAGTCCGACATGTAACACACTATGCCACCAGGACTCCTTAACTACACATGTTCATGAATGTAGACTATGAAGACTATGTTCACAAATAATACTTTTAAGTCCTTGGATAAAAAAAGAATTCCCTGCTGTTGGTTCCAACTCATGCATACCCTCTTTTGGATTTTCGAGGTAGAGTTTAAATGTGTTTATATTTTCCCCCCTTCTTTACACTTTATTGAGAAACAAGTAATTCTTTTGACTAACTCTTCTATTCAGTTTGGATACTTAAAATGATAAACATCAGTTACCTAAAAATTACACCTATATGTCATAGCCCATTTCCTAACTATTCCTCTTCTGTTACACTGGTGGCTTAGTGGTAAGGAATTGCACTGTCAACTCAAATGCAAATAGTTCAAATCCACCAGTTAACCTGAGAGAGAAAAATGGGCAATTTTCTCCCATGTGATTGTCTCTCAGAACCTACTGGACGGTCAACTATGAGTCGGCTCCCACTCGATGGTACACACCACCACCAACAACAACCTCTGTTACTAGGATATTGCTCTTTTAACACTCATAGACTTTAGGAGAGTCAGAATTTCCCCAAGGTTTTACTAATTCTGATCAGCTCATTTGTGAGGTTTGCATTATCTTTACTGCAATGTTGGCGTGCTTATTTGAAATGAATTACACAATCTTATTTCCATGGATCCATCATTTGAAAAGGACTAATTACAATTCATTAACTTGACCGTTCACTCAATTCACAGCAGGCACTTCTACCCTGATGGGCAGGCCCTCTTATTAAATACCATCCAGCATCATGGATCTAATGTTTAATTTCTGATTCAAGTAAGGAGGAAAAAGTAGTTCAGAGGCTCTTGTTGTAGACTCTGAGAGGCTCAACTTGAATATCTTAATAGCTTGAATTAACTAGACTATTGGAGGTGCCATCAGTTCATTTCATTCATACATTCTCTCTCTCTCTCTCTCTCTCTCTCTCTCTCACTTTAAAAGAGGTTTAACAAAGAAAAAGGACTTTCTTGCGAGACATCTACATTATACCTGAAAGGTTTAATCTGCTATCATATAAACTTCATTGTAAAAATTTTTATTCTAGTCATTTATACAAATATTTGCCGAACATCTGTCATGCTCTGTGGCTGTGCTCAGCATTCGAGGCACAAAAAATGAACAAAGACGCTGTCCCTGTCTTTCATGACTCACAGTCTCTGGCCAAGAATGTATTTGTTGATTGATTTATCCTTAAATCTCATTTTAATGTTATTAATTCTTTTTAATTGTATTATTTATGCAAGAAGTACGTAAAATACACTATCCTTGTTGACTATTGTAACATTACATTTAAGGATAACTTTTCATTAGTCACAGCCCCTCCTAACCCAACTATACAAAAATCCAAACCCATGTGCAGCTGACCCAGTTGTGACACAGACAGACCCTGTAAGACAGAATGGGTAGAATTTTACCACAATTGTCCCAAGGATGTAATATTTGTGAAGGAAAACGACCAGCTCTTTTTCCCAAGGATTACTAACCTCTTTGTTAGCAGCCAAACTCTTAACCGTTGCAGCACCAGGCTCTTTTCCCTTCAACCCCTTCTGATCCCAATCTTCTTCCTGTTAAATGTATGTGAACCTTTGCAGGTCGTTTCCTATGCAGTTATATGTTACATACTTTCACTTGCTTGCTTTACAGATAGTAACACACTATGTTCCTGCGTGTGTCTTTCTGATTTTTCTCTCAAAAATACGACTTTAACTTTTTATGTTAGTATGTATATTTCTACCTAATCCTTTAATCATTGTGCATTACTCCTTAAAATGGATTTGCTAGGATTTTATTTGGCTCTTTCCCCAGGTGTATAAGACAGCTAACCTGATTCCAATTTCATTGACTTTTTTATTTTTTTGCTTTTGCAACTTAGAGTTTAAAAATCTTTTATTCATTCTCTCTTCTATTCATCCACCAACTATTTCTCAAGTGCCTATTTATAATTTCATGAAATCCGTTGTTGAACAGAATGATTTCTGTGGATGATGGGTGTCTGGAAATCACATACCTTTGTGGTATACTTGCAGTAGAATGGCAAGAGTTGAAACTAGTCCCTCTGGATAGGGTGGGAATTTCTGAAAATTGATGCAGAGATCTGCAGTGGGGGGAAATATCAAGAAAATATCAATGATGAAACATGTTAACTTAGTCCCGTGGAAGATCATTATAAAGCTTTCCTTTCCAGAACAAACAATTTCATTCGCATTTAGTTTCTAATAGTTCCACAGTGGACACACCTCTGAAGAAGAGAGTGTGTACAGCTGAGGAGCTGCTCCCCTTTCTGAGAGGATTGTGCTACAGAAGGTGCGAGAATCTAGGTGTTAGGTGCCCGTTAGTGTTCATTATAAAGGTGACAGAATGTCTCACTTGAGACAGATGGCAAATCATTGGGGAACCTTTAGGAATACAGCTTTGCTAGGCACCAACTTTTGGGAAGAAGCTAAAATTATATTATGAAAAAGGTACAGTGAGCAGCCACTGAAGTGACTGTGCTTTGATTCTCACAGTGGAGAAAGATTTCATATTGCCTGACTAACAATTGCTAAGGGTGGCCTCCAGGGTTCTGGTTGTCACCCATTCATTTGTGATGGAAACCAGTTTTCTTACCACAAAAATGAATGTCAGTCCATTATTCTGAGTCCTGAATTATAACTTTATTTACTGTGGTAAGGTTCACATAGCAAAACATTTACCATTGCAACCATTTTCACTTAAACAAGTCGATATAACCTTAATTATGCTCGCCATGTTGGGCAACCTTCATAACAATCCATTGCAAACATGTAAAAAGTTTCCAAATCTAATAGAAGTTATGCTAATACAATTTGGTTCTCTGTTGCTCAGACATATCATAGATCATATCCCATTAAATATATGTTTATATAAAATTAGACTTTGTCAAAGAATATGAAGAAGACTTCAGTCGTCCCAAAGAGACCATGCTATCTGGAGGCTCTCCCTGAAACCTATTTGGGCTACTGCATTGGTCTTAGTTTTGCCCATATTTAGTAAGAATAGCTAGGCCTTGCCTCTGCTGTCATTGCTTTTTTCACATAAGTTTGAGAAAGTGAATGTTTTTGCATAATAAAAACACTCTACTTTTAACAGACAATTCAGTTTGCTCAGAGTCCTGAACAAGGGTGGAAAACATGCTTCTATTATTTCTTCTTTCAGTTTGCATTCAGCTGATCATAATTGTTTTTCACTCTGGGTTTGAGAGTTACCCTTACTTTTAAAGCTAGCTTATGTACAGAGGAATCTCATAAGAACAGCTTGAGCTTTGAGTCACCGGCCCTATGATGCTCTAGGAGCAGGAAGAGGTCCCTGAACCTAGCTTTCAATCCTCCTTAGCAAAATGAGAGGGATGCCTGGGAGATTCTGTCATCTCTTCAGGCTCTATGCTTCTATTAGTAGCAAAATCAACCAGCCAGTAACAGAGATAAAGGCAAATAACATTTCACCTGCAAATTTGTAAGAGCAGGAGGAATATTAGGCTGCATGTTTTCTAAGTTGTTGGAATCATATCTTATTTTAGACATTTTAAGTTATGCTTCAATTGAGTGTATCGCTGTGCTCCCTCGTAGGTTTCCTGATGCATATATTCCATACTGTTGGTTTTCTTTGCATGTTCTCTCTCTGGTTATCTTCCATATTCTCTTTCTCTCCCCTGCAGCTCCCTCTCACTCCTCCTTCACATCTAAATGTCACAGAAGATTTGACAAGACAACTGTAGAGAATGGCATTGGTGTTTTAATGGTATTTCAAGAAACTATTTCCTTTACAGTTCTTGGCAAGTCACAAATTTGGCAGTTTAGAGGGAAGCTAATCTGCTGAATTGGATTGCATCTCCTTAGGAACAGAGAGGAAAGTGACATATGATCTTGTCCTCTCCTGAAAACTGGCTGTGAGAACTTGGCTGATTCACTTTACCCTTCTTATTTTCATTGTGTTCACCTGAAAAATGAGCAAATTTAATTTTTCTGTGCTAAAATCTAATGAATGCTTTCTTTAAAAAGGCTCAAGAAGCAAATTTAAGGGGCCAGTCATGACTTTAAGACAGCCATTACTTTTAAGTGGTAAATAGAAAACAGTTGGTACTGTCTACATAGAAAAGGGAGGGTAGAAAAAGTTTCTTTCTCTGCCTCAAATATCCAATTTCTGCATCATCTTGGGAGGCATTAACACCTATCTGCTCGATTCACTTAAGTCCCTAGAATCCCAATTTGACAACTTTGGTGAAAATGATCAAACAACTTCTAATCTCAATGGAATGACAAATGTCTCTCTTTCCCCTTCAATGTGGTATTTGGAAATGCAATGAAAACAACATAAAATATCAAGCAGAGCCCCACATTTCAAGAGTCCAGGCCCCAGCAGCCAAGCGGGCCCTCAGTCCTCACTGCACACCAGCATCACCTCGTCACTGAGGCCCTGGCTGTGTCTAAAGTGGCAGAAACAGAGTGTCTGGGCATGAGCTTATGGTACTTGTATTTCTTGAAAACTCTTCAGTTGATTCTAATGTGCGATTGGGACAAAGTTGACCACTGTCATAGACAGTAAGGCTGGATAAGGGTAATGTGAAATGGAGACAAATCCCTTTGGAATTACATTCAGACCAAATCAGAACCCCTCCCATATCTGAACGTGCTAAGAACTCTGATTCCAGCATTATGTGGACTGTCTCCCCTCTAGTGCAATCACCCCTCAGAGTGCAATCTCTGTTGTTAGGTGTTGTTAGGTGTCGAGTCAAACACGATTCATAGCGACCCTACGAACAGCCGTCCTGAACCCTGCACTATCTTATGCTGACTTCATAACCTCTGACACACTAGAACCCATTGCTGAAATCACTGTGTCAATTCATCTCATTGGTACAAAAGATTTTTAATTTTGAGCTACACAAACTTGCTGGTTATACTACCAGATTATCCATATAAATAACAACATTGTTTTAGGCTTTATTTGTTAGAATGAGCTAAAGAATATTCTGTTCGTTCTTGGGTTATGGCTTATCTGATTATAGGACTTAAGGCATTTAATGAAATTAAACTCATTTGAAATATTTCCACACTCATAAATTGTCAAGTACAGCTCTTTAATCAATTATACTTTGAACATGTAGCTAGGCAAGGCTATTCCTTGAAAAGTGGCTTCATGGTTGGAAAGACAGAGAGAGGGTCAGTGAAGGAGAGGAAGACCTCTGATGAGATGGACTGGCACAGTGACTTCAGCAATGGTCTTTAGCTTTTCAGAGATGATGAGAATGGTACAAGATGGGAAAGAATTCAGGTCTGCATCAACAGCACCTAACAACAACAGAAACAACAACAAATGTGCTCGGTATTAGCTGTTAGTGCATTAGTGACACTGTTTCTAACTAAGAGGCCAGTGGTTTGAATACTCCAGCTACTCCATGGGAAAGTACTGTGGTTGTCTCCTTTCATAACAATTGTAGCCTTCTACTCTGACATATTGGTTTGCTATGGCTTGGAATTGACCTAATAGCAATGACAATGACATTGAGTGCTAGGCTCTGACAATGCAAGACTGACTGCAGCACAGGAAGCACTGTCTTCAACGTCAAAGAACTCATCATCTATTCCATCTATCTAAACTAGAGGGTAGATAAAAATAAACGTAAACTCTTGTAAAAACCCAGATTTCTCAACCCAGCGTGTGTGTTGTTTTTGTTGTGAAGTGCTATCAAGTATGACTCACAGCGACCCTATGAACAAAAGACCTGAACCCTGCTTCATCCTGTGCCATCTTCACACTTCCTGACACACTGCAGCCTGTTGCATCAGTCACCATTTCAGTCAACCTGGCTGAGGATTTTCCTTTTCTTCGCTGATCCTCCACCCTTTCAAGTATCTTCTCCTTCTCCAAGGAATAGTCCCTCCTTGTTCACAGGGTCGCTATGAGTCATGCTCTACTCTATGACAATCAACAAGCAGCATGCCTGAAGTATGTGAGATTAAGCCTCATCATCTTTGCCTCCAAAGAGCACTCTAGCTGAGCCCTCTCCAAGACATATTTGTTCGTTCTTTTGGTCGTCCACAGGATGTTCGGTGCTCTTCTCCAACACCACAACTCAAAGACATCAGTTCTTCTTTTATCAACCGTATTCATTTTCCAGCTCTCAGACGCATAGCAAGTGATTGGAAAGACCATGACCTGAACCAGACACACTTTAATCATCAAACTAAATTACATCAAACATCAGTACTATTCAATAATTTGGAGGTGTCCCTAACTGCAGACTTTCCCAATGCAATATGGTTCCCGATAAACTGACTGCTGGTATATCCAGGGTGTTAATTGTGGATCTAAATAAAATGAAATTGTTGATAGTTTTAGTCTCTCCTCCATCCACCATGATGTTGCTTATCAATCCAGTGGTAAGAATCTTTGCTTTTCTGACACTGAGTTGCAATCCATACTGAAGGCTGCATTCCTTGATATTCTGCAACAAATAAGCAATGTTATGTCATCTACATAACACAGGTTATTGAGAAGTCTACCTCTGATCCTGATGCTATGCTGCTCTTCGTAGAGTCCACCTTCTCTAATAATTTGCTCAGCATACAAACTGAATAGGTATGGAGAGAGAATACAATCCTGACACATTCTCCTCTTCATTTTAAACCATGCAAGTTCCCTTACTCTGTTCATAGAACAGCCTCTTGGTCCAGGTGTAGGTTTTGTATGAGCATAATTAAGTGCTCTATGACTTCCATTCTTCTCAATGTCAGCCACAACTTGTTATGATCCACACAGTCAAACGTCTTTGCAGTCAAGAAAGCACAAATAGACATTCTTCTGGTATTCTCTACTTTCAACCAGGATCCATCTGACATCAGCAAAGATATCCCTGGTGCTAAAGTCTCTTAAGAAGGGGAATTGCATTGCAATGTGTATAGGGTAAGTATATTTGTACTTATTTCAGATTTCCAGGTGATGCTGTTGATGTTATTTTGGGAACCACGCTTGAGAGCTACTCAATCCTGCTACTCAGATACCCTCACTACTTTCTACTTATATTGAGAAACATATATATTACTACCCAGCATATGTCACGATAACATTAGAAATATAATCTATGAGCTCCACTATTATATAAACAGGTTTTTAGGAACAGTTGAATTACAGTATAATGGCACTTTCATATATGTTCTAATTACACTTCCCTCCAAGTCAGCATTTTAAAATTTTAATTTGTTTACTCTTTTATTACATCTAAATTACTTCTATTTAACTTAAGACTAGTGAAAACAGTGTAGCTCCTATAGTTAAACCAATGACCTTTCACAAGATCTCAAGATTCATAGTGTTAATATAGACTTTCTCACTTTTATTTAATTTAGCAAAGCTGTGGGCTGTAAAACACTGGGAAGAAATCGTATGGAATCTGTCACATACCTCATGTAGTCTTTAACAGTCATCTGAACTATTCCTTGTTCATACGAAGGAACTGCAACAACAAAAGAAGGGAAGAAAGTTAATTTCCTTCCGCTTGGAAGATCTTCTCGTCCTCAAATGAACAAGTACAGGATAGAGCCCTATACCCAAGAATTCTATTCTGAGGATAAGGCATCTCTTCTGAATTGAGTATGATAGAGTATAATTAATGACTGAATTATGTGATGAGAATTTGAAGAAATCTGTGATTTGTTCAGCAAAGAGGTGTCAATGACCAATGAAGTACTCAGCAAAGGTTTTACGGAGGAAGTGATATTTGTCTTTAAGTTTTATTAATGGATAGGATTTGATGGGTGGAAAAGAGGCATTGCTGAGAACAAAAAGGAAATAAGGTGTCTGTCTATAGCAAGTGATAAGACTGAATGGATTGGATCATAGTGATTATGTCATGTGGCATTTGGAGATGGTCTCTCATTGTCCCTAAAATTGAGATGCAAGAGAAGATACAGACATAGGAGTTCATGAAGGGCTCAATGCTGGTTACATTTTACATGAACAGTTCTATTAATTCCTATAGCAAACTCATGATATAGCATTATTAATCCCCTCTTCTTGTCATTGTTGTAATGTTCCCTCGAGTCAAGCGTGACTCAAAGCAATCCTATGTACAACAGCTCTGAACCCTGTTTGTGTCACCCTCATTGTCTCTGCCACACCTACCCCTAGTACTGCAGTAGCTGAGTCAATCCATTTCATGGAGGGTCTTCCTCTCTTGTACTGTCCCTCCACCCTCCCAAACACTATGTCCCTCTCCAAGACTGGTCCTTCCTTGCAACATGCCCAAAGTATATCAGATGGAGCTTCAAAATCTTTGCCTAAGAACCTGGTTTCACCCTCTCTAGCATGGACCTGTTTGTTCTCTTAGCAGTCCATGGTATATTCAATACTGTTCACCAGCACCATAGCTCAAAGGCAACAATTCTTCCTCTATCATTCTTGGTCATTGTCCATCATAGGCAAAATCTGAATCTTACGTATATCAGATCAATTTCCCATGGCTGGGAGGATAATACAATGTATTTTGTTTTTGTTGTTGTTGTTATTCTTCTAACACTAATCTCCCAAACAGAATATCTTGAAAGTTGCTTAAAAGACTGAAAGAGGATTTTACTTAAATATGGAACAAAATTGAAACCCATAAAGTTTTTGAGTAAGCAAGTTGTTGTTGTTATGTGCCGTCGAGTTGCTTGCAATTCATAGCGACCCTATGTACAACAGCCCTAAACTCTGCTCTGTCCTGTGCCAATCGCACTGTCTCTGACACTCCCACCATGATTACTCCAGTCACTGAATCAATCCACCTCATAGAGGGCTGTCCCCTCCTGCACTGTCCCTCCACCCTACCAAGCATGACGTCTTTCTCCAAGGACTTGTCTCTCCTTATAACATGTCCAAAGCTATGTTAGACGGAGCCTCAGAATCCTTGCCTCCAAGGAGCTACCCAGTTTAACCCTTTCCAGGATGAATCTGTTTTTCCTAGGAGTCCGTGGTACTCTTAATACTCTTCTCCAGCACCACAGCTCAAAGGCATCAATTCTCCTTCTATCTTTGGTCATTGTCCAACTCTCTGATGCATAACAAGTGATTGTGAAGACCATGGCCTATATCAGATGCACCTTAGTCTCCAGAGAGACACCATTGCTCTTCAGTACTTTGGAGAGGTCCCTAACAGCAGACTTTCCCATGGCAATGCGTCTTAATTTCCTGGCTACTGGTGCCAAGAGTGTTGACTGTGGAGCCAAGCAAACTAAAGCTGTGAACAATCTCAATCTCTTCACCATCCATCCTAATGCTGCCAATTGGCCCAGTGGTGAGAATCTTTGTCTTTTTTACATTGATCCTCAATTAATATTGGAGACTGCAGTCCTTGACCCTCTGCAGCAGGTGCTTCAGGTCCTCCTCAGTTTCAGCAAGCAGGATTGTGTCATCTGTATAACGCAGATTGTTGGTAGATCTTCCACCAATCTTGACCCCACATTTCTCCTCATAGAGCCCAGCCTCCCGGATAATCTATTCTGCATACAGGTTGAAAAGGTATGGAGATAGGTTGCATCCCTGAAGTACGCCCTTCCCAATTTTGAACCATGCAGTGTTCCTTTGCTCTGTTCTGATGACTGCCTCCTGGTCCACGTACAGGTTTCGCATTAGCATGATCAAGTGTTCTGAGATTCCCATTCTTTTCAGACTCAGCCACAGTTTGTTATGATCCACACAGTCAAATGCCTTTGCATAGTCAATGAAATACAGATAGACATTCCTCTGGTATTCCCTGCTTTCAGCTAAGATCCATCTAACATCAGCTACAATATGATAAAAATGATGCTGAAGGTCCATTAGATTGGTAGTGGTGCTCAGCACAGATGCAAACCCCAACAAAATCTGAGGCAGTTAACTAGCTTATAGCTCTCAGGGGCCTGGCACAGCAGAGTGGAGCTGCCTCATAGGATTTTGATGGTTGTGTTCTCTTATTTTACTTTTAATTTTTATTTTATATTGATTTGCTTACAAAGTTTATGTACATTGTATTTCATACTATTCTTCATTTAGTTTTTTATACAATAATTCCCATTCGTTGTTTTATAAAATGGATCACCATTAGACTATGTCCTTCCTGTCTTTTCAGGTTCCTGCCAGATCTTTCCTTTATCCCCTCTCTCTACCTACCAAATTTCACAACCATGTGATTTCACCCCTATCCATCCTCACCTCTCAGCTTGCATTCCTCCCCTCTTTGGATTCCCACATATGTTTTACTAGTTATCCTTCTATTTTTACAATAATGGTCTAATGCAGTATTTGTCCTTTTAAGACTTAAGTTAGTTCACTCAACATAATGCTCTCCAGTCTCTCCCAAGTTGTACCACATTCTTTTTAAATCATTGCTCCTGAGTGCTGTATAGTATTCCATTGTGTGAATGTACCTCAATTTCTCAATCCATTCAGTTGTGGTTGGACATTTGGGCTGTTGCCATGTTCTTTAAGGAAGATAACTGATACATCTTTTTTTCATGCAGTGGCTGGTATGTTCAAGTTGCTGGCATCTCAACAGCTTACTAAGCATTTAACCACTGTGCTACTAGGAATCTTAAGGACAAAGTAGAGGAGGTGAATATTATCCAGACCTTTTGTCTTAACATAAACTCAGCATTGCAGCAGTCACAGCAGAGAGAAACGTTCAGGATCTGGGCACATTTCTCACCAGAGTCACTGGTCTCCTCACTTCCTCATATGCCTGGTCCTTCTAGGTGTGCAGATGTTTGACTTGTACCCTCCTAAATTATATGAGAACATGAAATTTTTCATTATAAGAAAAATCATAAAGATTGAGAAAAAATGAGGCTGAGACAATTGAAATAAGATTAAGGAGGGCTGAAAATAATTAAGGGCTCTTCGTTCTAGAGTCAGAGTTCTTGTCAGGATTGGTGTCTATCTATACATATAGACCTCAAAGTACCTGTGAACTTCTCTCTGAGGGATAAACGTAGACTCATAATAAGGAACACCTGCAGTTTTTAATAGATTCATAGATAAAATTCAATGAACCTGCTAAATGGAAAAGGAATCCTGGTTTCAACTGATAAAACTTGGAGCTACCTTAGTGAAATCTGAGGAAACAGTGGATCCTCAAATAAACCCAAATAGACTCCTTAAAGAAGTAGCAATTGTCCTACAAAGCAAATAGAACTCTGTCATATAAAGGGGAAAATAGAAATCTGCTTTAATGGTTTAAATACGGGGTAGGGTTGTGGGTGGCTTATGTGCTATCACTCCCAGGACCCCTTCCAGTGCAGTACCAACATCAATCAATTGCATCACTTTCTCACTGAGCACAGATGGGCTCTCGAACCATCAGGGAAGCCACTAAAGCTGATTAGAACTGTTATGTGAGATGGAACTTATTTGCCCTCTTTTGTTTGGCATAAACACAAAAGAGGATTTTTTTTCTTCACAAAAGCAGAGTAATTTGTTACACTGTTGGTTGAGTGGCAAGAAGTTGCACTGCAACCCTAAAGGCACATGGTTTGAGGCCATCAGCTTCTCTGTGGGAGAAGGATGGGCCATAAAAGCCCACCAGAGGGTCAGCTATGGGTTCGTTCCAATTCTTTGGTACACAACAACAATCTTGACATCAGAAATTAATAACTCTGGGAAAAATATAACTTCATGTAATTTCATGGGACCACTGTCAAAGAGGTTGCACTGGTGGCCTAGTGTATAAAGATGTAAACTCAGAGATAAGCAGTTCAAATCTACGAGTGGATTCATAGGAGAAAGATGGACAGTCTCCTCCCAGGAGATTATGGCCTCTGAAAACTCACTGAAGGGTCAGCCCTGAGTGGATTCTGACTTGATAGTGCACAACAATGACAACAAATAATTGTAAATGATAGAACATGGAGGTGAAAATATTTTTACCACAATACAGTGTGACATTTATTAAATTTTCCCTACATCTGGTTACAAATACCCATATTATTGTTGTTGTTGCTAAATGCTGTGGAGTCCAATACTACTGATAGCAATCCTCTGAACAACACAGCTAATCTCTGTCCTATCCTGAACCAGCCTCATCAACTCTGACACACTAATAAATTAGGACAAAGTGTCAGATTGAAACTTATGCATCAACTCAATACTGAACTTAGAAAAAGAATCACCATTTTGCCCCTCACACCAGTGCATTTAAAACATAGGGATTAGCAGAAAAATACCATAATCATATGAAATTTTTACAAAATTCTCATAATGTAAATAGGTTAGAAAGGAGCTGTTCTAGGTGAAGTTGCCCACTTAGTTTTTCCTTCACCTCTTAAGGTTTTTTTAGGATCTGAAGTGCAGAAAACACTATTCAGTCCATAAGGGTCCTCTTGGCAGCCAGTGTTAATGTATCACAGCCTCTTCCTCATGGAATTCTGCAAAATTTCAGAGCTTCTTAAATTCATGAAGCTACTGTCAGTTGATTGAAGTTGTCAGATGAGAGAAAATCTATTT